TTCCAGGAAGGTTTATCAGGTGAAAAAAATATGTGCAAGTCAAGTAACATCTAAAGAGCCGTATAATTGTTGAAAAACTCAAGTATTGATTTTGTGTTTTGAGTAAATTGCAATGAATCACGTGTCCACCAAAGTGGACGTTGTGCATCACTGGCTATATTTTGAATACAATGCATAGTATTGCTGCAACTTTAGTGTTTCTGGAAATACTTCATTTTCAACACAGTTTTGGCTGCAAATAAATTAGATTATATGATATAAATTATATCTTGTGAATATTTGGCATATCATGAGAAAAATGATCCTTTTCCATGTGTTTTGTAGCAGTCAGGACCAGAGCAGAATAGAAAAGCCTACAGGACAGTCCAGGAACTACCATCTGACTCAAGAGAGGGTGATGTTGGTGGGAATGATGAAGAATGGTACCAGACAAAAGACAATTAGTAAATGGTAACAGCTGCAACAGTGAAGTTTAAGATGTAGAAGGAGAAGATGCTGAGGAATTTGAGGTGAATGAAGAGGCTGAGGGAGATGGTGCTGTCCGACTTGACCAAGCTCAAAAACACAAAATAGTAGATAGCAGACATGTCTGCAAAGCCTAAGATGATAAGTTTGAAGGACAATTTACTCTTTACTTTTTAAGAGAGTAGTAGGTGAAGTTTGAGGGAGGAGCCCCAATTGATTTCTTCAGTCATTAAATTCCGAATGAGCTGATTGTTGACATAATGGTCAACTCAGACCTCTATGCTTTGCAAAATGGAAAATAACCACTGGGCATTGCACTGGGTGAACTGATGAAGTTTCTAGGGTTTTTTTTGGTCATGTCATACTCAAATACCTTAGATGTACAAGCCTGTGAAGATGTGAAAGTCTTGTCTTAGTTCTATGCTGATTAGTACCAGCAAAGTTCTTTATAGTATTTCAGTCATTTAGTCAGTGCAACAAATGTGTTTTTCTTTGGTTTATGTTTCAGAGAACACATTTTACAGTTTTGTTAAAATAAGAAAAATACAATGCTAAAGATAAAATCTAAATGTCCTATGGTGTTTACAGTATTCTTATTCCGTGACTCAAATGCACGTTGTCCACTCTAGTGGACGTGTCACCAACTCCATGGAGAATTCATGTTTTTTCAAAATTAAAATATTTTCTATCTTTTCCTGCATCAAGAGTAATTAAAACACTTGGGGAAAAAATCTTGAAGAAGCCTATTGTAATTCATGCATGAAAGGTTTCAATTACTTAAATAAAGAAAAACATGATTTTGTTTTCTTTTTTGTGACAACAGTGGTCCAAAAGTAATGTAAACTAGTTACTTCCTTGCAGTAGTAACTAAATAATTTATCTATTTACTTTTTTAAAAAACTGAATAGTAATTTTTAACTTAATACATTTTCAACTTACCCAACTTTGGTCTACAGTGGGCAACAAATAAGATGAATGAAAAAGGGGAACTATATTTTGGCTCAAATGAATGAATGGATGGTTCACCCACTAATAGGGAACATGAGCTGGGTTTAGAAGTTAGTTTTACCCTACTGAAGATTTGTTGTTGCAATACTATATACTATTGCAACAACACTGTTTACATAAAAAACACACATCATTTGCCCTCCGCCAGCAGTTATCCCTCTCTAAGCTCGGGTCCTCTACCAGAGGTCTGGGAGATTGAGGGTTCAGCGTAGTATCTTTGCTGTTCCTAGCACTGAACATTTCTGGACTGAGATTTCCAAGGTTCTTCCAGGGATATGCTGAAACCACTTCTCCAGCTTCGGGGTCACTACCATCCGGGCCCTCTCCAGCTCCTCTCTCCCCTTTGTCTACCACCACTTTCAAACATATTTCTGAATAACATTCATGTAACAACAAACTAAAGTTCTTAAACATGTTGGAAGCGCATAAGGAGCCTCCTTATGCTGAACACAAAGCATTTGGTATTGTTATATTAATCTTTATTGCAAATTAAATTCAATTGGCTCATGTTTTAAAATGTAAGAAAAATAAAAAGTGAAAATACAATACTACACCTTGAGTCAGTCCAAACAAGTCTGCAGGAGATGGAAGTCTTAAATGAGTGCCTGATGCACCAGACTCCAAACTATTTTTTTGTTTTTGCAAAGCAAAACCATTGCCCCTTTGTCGTTTCGATGAACGGACTGGTGGGACTTGAAACTCTGAACTCCCTGTACCAGAGGTTGAGTCCTGAGCCTGCTGGGCTTGGGCAAAATACCTACTTTGCCTGAGCCCCAGGTGAAAGATCAAGGCTGTGCTCTCACCGACAGAGCAGCCATCCTCTTGTGGACTCACCACCTGCAGGAGAATCAGTGAGGGGCTGGTGCTCTGTGGATTGGGTGCAGCTCTAATTACCCCCCCAACCCAGAAATGGACTAAGGAGAAGAAAATGCATGGATGGATGATGGATTTGAAATGTCATCGCGTCTGAATCAATGCTTTGAGCCTCTTAGGTAACGTTGGAAATTTAGACAAATGTTTTACACTTTATTTATTTATGTAATGTTCATTTGGTTGGGACACTCCAGTTTAATGAACACACCTCTCTGAATTGCACAATCACACTCACAATGTATTTGCTTACTTTTTCCATTTGGAGCAATTATTATCATTCACTGTAATTTCACCAGCAAAGTCTCACTGAGATTTCAGAATCTGTTTTTCAGGGGAATCCAGGTCCCAAACAGAGAATGGTTCTTGTAAATGTTTTTAGTGGTAGGGTACCTGGAGGAAACACAGACACGGGAAGAAGGCCCTGTTCTGACCGGGATTCAAACTCAGAATCTTCCTTTGATGTATGGTGGATTCTTCAGCCACCAATCTACAGCAAACTAAAGGAAAAGACTGAAGGGCTTGAGGCCATTTTATACCCCGGAAGAGTCCACTGGTCCCAAGAATCAGAGTCCGAAAGGGACACTGCTTCAAATTATGATTTGTTTCAGTTTAGCATTTCCCCCTCTGGTGTTATTTTGGGTTACTCCTCCTGTATTTAAGCCCTACCGCTGTAAAGTGTATAACTGCTGTTGTGTCCTTCACCCACATTAGATCGAGTCTGATGTGTGTGAGTAAAAAGTGGTGGTGGACCTTGTACCAGTTACCTTGACCGACAATACATACTGATTCTGCGTTACTTCTGTCAGTATGCCCCAGGGCAGCTGTGGCTGTACAGTATTAATTTATAACCAATGGGTTTTGAGCACCAGACTTTAGAAGTGAAGAACAAAGACCCTCTCTATTTTACATACTATTGATCTAATATAAACTGGATAAGGATAATTACAGTATCTACTTCAAGACAACCCCAGGGACATTCCATTGTCAGACTACCTGAACACTGAGTATTCTTTACATTCTTTCTCAAGGGCAGGAATTTAGTCATTGAATATGGTGAAATATTTGCACATTGTGTGAATGCAGAAAATCCCCGCCCCTTTCAGCAGGTGAATAAGAGGCGGTCAAGAGCAGACCAGCTCTTCAGCAGAGGTAGACCTGATCGGATCTTCAGCAGACCTCCAGGTAAGACCTAAGATCCATGCTGGCCAGCTTGTACCAGTAGATCTTAGAAGCACAGCTACCACTTTTTAAGCATAATTTTTACTTATTTTTATGCCAAACTCCAAAGGATTTAAAAAGTGTTCCCAATAGACGATTAAATATGTGCATCCTACAAAAAGGAAACACAAAGAAACAAGAAATTTTGATGACAGCGATTTTGCGTCCATCAAATCCAAAAACAGGGCAATAAAGTAAAACAGAGTAGAGTAGAGTAGAGTAGAGTAGAGCCAAGTATGGCTGGTGGAAACAGGGCAACAGCTTATTTTCACCAGGGTGAATACAAATAGGTTTTCAGAGCATCAAAGCACAGAAATTTGATTGTAAATGACAATAAAAACAACTATAACATTGGCAGAAGCTGAGAAAAGTACCTATGGAATAATGTGCTGTGATTTATCCATGAGTGATATTAATGTTTCTTCAGTATTTTGTGAGGCACTTTGCGTGGCCTTATATGAACTGTGCTATACAAATAAATATGCTTTGCTTTTGAGAAATCGGCTGCTTTGTCAGCACTTTGTTGAGTTGACGACAGTGTTGTCTGTTTGTAGCTGTGAGCTGATTGGTCCTCTTCAAGATGCTCCTTCTTCTGATCCTGGGGTCCGTTTCCATGGTAGCGGCTGAGTGTATGTACACATAAATGTCCCTATAGACCTGTTGAAAGTGTACATGTATGTGCTGTCCCCGCCCGAGCTCCTGTCTTTGCCGGGCGAGACTGAGACTGTGACATGTGACAGCGCTCCGATCATCAATATATTCCGTATATTTTTTTACTGATTTGTAGATTGGCTGCAACCATTGTTAGACCGACTGTAAAGGTGTAATACAAAAATTGTGTCATTAGCTGCTGCTCACACATCAGCTCTGTTATTGGAAGCTAATGACAAGCTAATAATAACTAGGCTGTAAGTTCACTCAAGTTCAAACCAGGGGTATCCTAACTTTTTAGTAAGAGGGCCACTTTAGTTCACCAAAATGTCCTGGTGGTGGTGGTGGAGCCCCCAGTTCAGAATCAGAATCAGAATCATTTTTATTGCCACGTAAGTAACAGGAAGTCACAGACTTGGAAATTTGGCTCAGTGCAACAGTCAGAAAGAGATAATAAGACCCCGGTGGTGGAGTCCTTCGGGTTTGGACCCCGGTGGTGGAGTCCTCCGGGTCTGGACCCCCTGGGTCTATGGTGGTAAAGCCGACACACAATTTCTTCACTGTTGAGGTGGTGATGGGGGGAGGAGGCGGGTTGATGCACAAACAGCAGCTCAATGTGAGGACTGAGAGGCTCAGTCAGGGGTGTAGCAGAGGGTTGTGTGGCAGGAGAGAGTTAGCACAGAGAACTGCCCTCTGAGTCTTCTGAGTTTTCTGATTTTAGTTGCATTTCATGATGTGTCGTTTCAAACGGTGTACTTGCAGATGTTGAGATAAAAAACAAGACCATGTTCAACATCTCTTCGTGTCCAATCACTTACTACGGGGTCGAGTACAAGTCGCTGTATGTGAGTACCTTTTTATCCATTTATATCCATGCAAAAAGAAATGAATACTCCTGATGTTTGTATACTGCACAATAGTATTGCAGTAATAGGAGGTGGAAAGTCCAAATGTATCTTTGAACCCGTTCTGCAGATGGATGTTAGAGCTGGAAGATAATTCAAACTCATAAACTCATCACAATCACTTCATCCAATTCCATTCAGCTCAACATATTTGTGTATTTCCCTAAATCACAACAACCAATGTCTCTGAGGACTTAACAAAGTTGTGTATTCGCCTATGGAGCAATTATTGTTTCAATTATATTTGTGTGTGCGTAAAAAGATTTGTGTGTTTGTAACCAGATTTGTGTGTGCGTATAAATATTTGTGTGTGCGTAAAAAAATCTGTACGTGTGTATCCAGATTTGTGTATTGAAACAATAATAATTAACACTAGCTCCATATTTGCCAACCACAGATCAGAGAATCAAACAGTTCAAACACACAAACTGCAATAATAACAAAAACATAGGAGCCATTTGTCCAAATGACCTGACACTGGCAGGAGGCTACAGTATGTCTTAGTCCGAAGTGTAAGAGGTCGTTGTAAGGCATAGGCAGGTTGTAATAGTTTTGTGGGACAGTTGCACGTCTTTTATTGACCTCGCAATCTCAGGGGGGTTTTGATGTCACCAAAAAGGTTGTCCGCTCTCTCTCGAGAAAAGCCTCCTTCATCATATCTCCATCTCAGAATGGTTTTTTGTGTTTAACAAGCACATAGTTGCCGCTTTCCCCTACGTCTTCGGTTTGGTGAAAATAGACTACCGTGCAGGAAGCTGGCCTTTCAATTCCTGCACTTAACCCTCTAGGCGGCACGGTCGACAAGCTGCGGTACTGTTTAAAACAGCCGAGTGTGACCCACTGAGTGTCAAAATTCATTCATACTCCCTGCCACTAGTTGGCAGACATGTCAGACTACCTCCCTGGCCCCAAAAAACGACATGCTCCCATACAAAATATTCGAGCAAGACCGCGTTGAATCAGAGCGGAAAACACTGCGAAGCGAGTGCAGCTGCGAGGCAGCGTGCGAGTGTTATAGCGCACCAAACACTAATTTTAGACACTTTGCTCAGAGTCTGCAGTGAGAACAGTGTTTTTCAGAGTAAGGCCAGTCATTGGGAGGTTTGGAGACGGGTTAGATTTGCGGAGAACAACCCTGGAAGCAGTAGCGGCGCCAGGTTTGCAATTTTGGGTAGGCCTGCAGATTAGTAAGTAGGCCAAATTCGCACGCAAACTACAAGGGGTAGCTGGAATTGGGGTTTCAAAGAATATGGTTTAAACGCAAGCACACGCACCCAAGCACACACATACACACAAGCTCATTCATGAAACTTGTGTAGAAAAATGTGTACATTTGGGGTGTATATTCCATTTACGCCGCCAGTGAGCTTACTCCTGTGTTCACGGACATTTTCAACTCCTCTCTGCAGTCCTGCCATGTCCCGGCCTGCTTCAAATCCTCCATCATTGTCCCCGTCCCGAAGAAGCCCAGGATCACAGGACTCAATGACTACAGACCTGTAGCACTTACGTCTGTCGTCATGAAGTCATTTGAACGCCTGGTTCTCTCCCATCTCAAGTCCCTCACCTCCCCCCTCCTGGACCCCCTGCAGTTCGCCTACAGAGCCAACAGATCTGTAGACGACGCCATTAACCTGGCCCTCCACCACATCCTACAGCACCTGGACTCCCCGGGGACCTACGCCAGGGTCCTGTTCGTGGACTTCAGCTCTGCCTTCAACACAATCCTGCCATCCCTGCTCCAGGACAAGCTCTCCCAGCTCAACGTGCCCGATTCCACCTGCAGGTGGATCACTGACTTCCTGACGGACAGGAAGCAGCGAGTGCGTCTGGGGAAGAATGTCTCGGACTCTCGGATTATAAATACAGGAGCCCCACAGGGCTGTGTTCTTTCTCCCCTGCTCTTCTCCCTGTACACCAACCACTGCACCTCCAGCCACGACTCCGTGAAGCTGATCAAGTTCGCGGACGACACCACCCTCATTGGACTCATCTCCAACAACGATGAGTCCGCCTACAGGAGGGAGGTGGACCGGCTGGTGTCCTGGTGCAGTGGTAACAACCTGGAGCTGAACGCCCAGAAGACAGTGGAGATGATTGTGGACTTCAGGAAGAGCACTGTCCCCCCGCCCCCACCCTCCGTGATGGACTCCCCCATCACCTCTGTGGAGTCCTTCCGTTTCCTGGGCACCACCATCACCCAGGACCTCAAGTGGGAGCCGACCATCAGCTCTCTCATCAAGAAGGCCCAGCAGAGGATGTACTTCCTGCGGCAGCTCAGGAAAGCCAAGCTGCCTGCACAGATGTTGGTGCAGTTCTACACGGCCATCATCGAGTCCATCCTCACCTCCTCCATCACCGTGTGGTTCGCTGGAGCCACAGTCAGGGACAAACAGAGACTACAGCGCATTGTGCGCTCTGCAGAGGAAGTGATCGGCCGCAGCCTTCCATCGCTGCAGGACCTGTACGTCGCCCGAGCTCGAGGCCGGGCTGGTCGTATCACAGCCGACCCCTCTCACCCTGCACATGGACTATTCCAACCACTCCCCTCAGGCAGGAGGCTGCGGTCCATCAGGACTAGAACCTCCCGCCACAAGAACAGTTTCTTCCCCTCTGCTGTTGGACTCTTGAACACTTCTTAACCTGTCCCCCCGCCCTTTATAAAGTCACTTTACTGCCCATCATACGTCACTTTACTTCACTGTACTGCTGTCACCTTACATTGTGTGCACCATGTGCACTTGTATATTGTAAATAGTAACTGTAACTCTATTTTAAATTTAAATTTATTCTTTAGAAGTGTTTTTTATTCTTATTTTTATTATCTCTTTTTGACTGTTGCACTGAGCCAAAGCAATTTCCAAGTCTGTGACCTCCCGTTACTTACGTTGGCAATAAAAATGATTCTGATTCTGATTCTGATTCTGATTTACGCAAAATTCAACGTCGGATTTATGAACGTGTGAGATCAGCCCAGATCTGAGCGTACGCAGCTGCGGGTGTTGATAAATCGACTGAATACGAACGTATTTAGTCACGCCTAGAATTATGCAGCAATGTTCCCGACAGGTCAGCACGGAAGTCCAAAAAGACTGTTTGGAAGCCTCCAAAGGCACGTTTGTTTGTTATGTTTATGTAAAAATAAATATATGTTATATATTCAGCTGCGTTTTGCACAAATTTGCAAAAATAGTTTTGATACATTAGAAACATCTCTTGAATTGTAGAAGTGAATAAATATAGATTGATTGAATGAATGAATAATTCATATATATTATGCAGCGGTGGCTCTCATGAATGAAGCATCTGCAGCGTCTTGGACGCAGCCTGGCTCGGGGTAGAAGTGCGCATTGAAGCGCTGTACACTTCAGAGAGCGTTTGCGGTCCAGATTTCACAAAGAAACTCTGGAGCCAAAACTTCTGCACATGTGGCGCGACCTCTCACGGCACTCGCTGCGCACTCTGGACAGGGCAGTGAGACGTTTGAGTGAGCAATACCATCGATGCGTTATTGGGGTGTGTGTCTGTGTGAGGCTTACACAAATCTAATGAAATAACAGATTGCTTTACCAGATGTGAGGAATACAAATAGCCGTGCGTAATTACGCAGCGCAGAGCCTGCCACAGCAATAGATGGGTCACACATCCCTGTTGCGTAAAGTGTATTTATATAGAGCCTTTCACAGTTCAGGATCACAAACTGCTTCACATTTAAAAAACATACAGATCAAAATAATACACACACAAGTCAGATTTAATAGAGGGTCCTGATCATGAGCTGTGATTTATTCGAAGTTTGCATTTTTCCATTAGACTTTTTCCGATGCGCAAATTAGACTTTTGAAACATGATGCTCAATGAAAACACAGCTTATAATTTTGCCAGAGGGATTATGTTTATTGTTGTCCAAATCCTGAATTTCATACGTGTTTTGGCGTGTTGAGCCGAAGGTTGAGATCAGCGTATACGTTTACTCCACCTCCAGACCTGCCGTATATTTTTTTGCGTATTGTACGCTCACGTCCAGATAGATAAATGCGAAAAGTGATTCCACCCTGATTTACACCCTGATTTGTCCGTACGCAGTTTCATACATGAGGCCCTGTGTTTCATACATGAGGCCCTGTGTCTCATACATGAGGCCCTGTGTTTCATACATGAGGCCCTGTGTTTCATACATGAGGCCCTGTGTCTCATACATGAGGCCCTGTGTCTCATACATGAGGCCCTGTGTTTCATACATGAGGCCCTGTGTTTCATACATGAGGCCCTGTGTTTCATACATGAGGCCCTGTGTCTCATACATGAGGCCCTGGGGTTTACCTCATCAGTGCGAGGTGAACCTGGCCTGACTGCGCTCTCCTCCTCTGGGACCTACGGGCCCGGGCCTCTGGCTCCTATACCTCACAAAGTTCACCCTGAACTTTCTTAAAACTAAAATGACTAAAAAGGCTGCTCTGTTGTGAATGTTTTGAGAGCGTTGTCAATCTTTAAGACGAGGAATAGCTGTTGTTCTCGGGAACGAGCTTCGCGCTGTGTGATATGATCATGCAGCTTATTGGACAAAATTATTCAGCCAATAAACAGGACTATATTTGAAGCAACGTGAACGCTCAGGGGGTTACATTTTCTTAAAACATTAGAACGCAACATTTAGGCAATAATGTGTGTATAAAAATAACAATATTTAAATTATGACTTTTAATAAAAAGGCTAATGACTTGAGAGGCGAAGAACAAATTTGAGTAGGCCAAGAAAAAAACTGGTAGGCACCGGCCTACCCAGGCCTATCCCTGGCGCCGCGGCTGCCTAGAACTCGCGTCGGGGCACCGCGCCGCGACCTCCAGCCTCCGCTAAAGTCTCCGCTAAAAGTGCTTCCCACATATGTATTTTCATGCCTCCCGTAATCACCGGGACAGTAACGTGTTGGAAAACCCTTGGCTTGTGTGTGTTAGACGAGAGAGAGAGCAGGGGAAACGACAGAGAGAGCAGGGGAGACAGTAGCAGCAGCAGCAGCAGGGTCGCAGTGACGCGCTTCACCTGGAGGCGCGCCTCTGGGCAGACTGCTCACAGCAGCACCATGATTTGTATTTTTTACTATTTTCATGAACATTTACAATGTTACAGTATGTGCTCTTTGTGTATATATTGTATGAAAATTCTAAAATCCACAATTTCTAACGCCATATGATGTCATAATATGCAAATTAGATGGGTGGATTTATTCTCTCCATAAACTTTGGACCATCCTTAATATTTTTCTAATTTACAGAAAGCCTTTATCTCTTATCACTTTTAAGTTATAGCCTTTTGAAATTAAGATGTAAAAATCGAGCGTTTTGGAAAAAGACCTCTGGCACTCACAGTGCCGTTTTTGCGGGGAAATCCCTCTCATAGCCAGTGTGTAATGTTCTACAATGACGTTCCAGGTTTGCTTTCTTTGGCAATGCCACCCTTGCATTGTATATCACACATAGGATTTGAATTAGAAGGAAAACAATAATAATCTTCCTCCCATTCAGGATGAATGTGACATGAATATGGTGCGTTTAGTGTTACAGAAAATGTACGGTAGGCCACACAGCAGTACAAAAAAATTCTCAAACTTCCACAGAGACAGCCCTTCTTTTTGTCCCCTGATCCTATCTTTAGAAAGAATTTTCAAATGTTCATGTGGGCAGAGTCAGGCTGGGCACAGGTGTTAAGTTGTTAAGTCTCTGTGTGGCTTCTCTGGGTTCTCACGGCATGTATACTCCAACAACATCATACAACTGCGATTGTATGGTAGTTATTTGAGATAACATAACTTATTCTTTTCTTAATAAAAAACGTTTCAAATATGCATATTTAAAATGTTTAGAAACAAAGTCACTGATGGTTCTATAACCTCCTTGTCTTCAATTAATCTTCAGTGAACTCCCAAACCATTTATAGACAATTGTTTTTAAAAAGGTAAACAGGCTGAGACTGTTCTAGCATACTGTCTCAGCGCTGGGTCTCTGTAACAAAATGTGCAAAAGTTCAGGTCCTCTACACCGTATGTGTTCTTGGTTAAAATGCATTTTCTTTTATAGGTTGAACCGGCTGGTAATCTATCCGTCTGTTTTGATGCCTTTGTTGGAGCCGACTGTTTGTCATTTGAAGAAGGTGGGGGCGATGGTTGGACGTTCCAAATAATAAATCAATTGAATTTGACGCAAAGGAGACTACTGAGTAAATACAATGAATTAGCTCTCAGTGGAGAAGGTGTTTACCAACTTGGAAACGTTACCTGTGCTTTGGAACTGAACAGACCTGGTTCAGTAAGTATATCTTCTTGTCTTTTTTGCCCTCCCAACAAGGAGGAATTTTATCCAAATAATGTTATAGTTTTATATTGTTTCTCTCTCTTTCTCTTTAGAGTACTTCTGAAATTTTTATAATACCAAATGCGGGACTGATCATGCTTTTGGTAGGCTATATTCCAGGGAATAATAATGACAAGGTGAGTGAGACACAGACATCAGCAGACTTCAAATACGTCCTCTTGGAGTTGGGATCAAATATAAAATAAAAAAAACTCAATCAGGTTCATGTAAGACTATAGGGTTTTTCTTCTTTTATCACTTTCCAATTATCAACTGTATTTAGGGATTCTAATCCTAAAGTGTTGTGACCTTGCCCATTATGGCACAGGCAGGGCGCCCGGACCCAAGCCTGGGTGCTCATTGTCCGTAAAGGGATCCATGGAGGCCAAGGACAGAGGACTGGGTGGTGGTAGAAGGTGGAGACCTCCACCATCAAAGTGACAAGCAACGTCACTTCAATGGGGGAGGCCTACCCTCTACACACAACTCCTTAATACAGGCTGGAACCTTCACTTTTCTGGGGTTTTCTCATGGTGAGACAGGGCAAGTTTGGGAAAGCCCCATTCAGAATCAGAATCATTTGTATTGCCATTTGAGTAACATGGCAATAGACCGGAAATTGCTTTGGCTCTCAATGTCAAGGAAGAGAGGTAAAGAATAGAGTAAGGCATAGTAAAAATCAGCATACGCTTCTAAGGTATACACATTTTAATGATTAGATTTCACTATATACAGTATACAAGTGCACACACTATGCAGTGCAGTAAGGTGACAGCAGTAAAGCCTAGTGTATACTTGCGCAGCGCTGGTTACGGTTACGTGGGACCTATGCAGCCACAGTGGCTCATCCACTTGCGCGTTCCCCTTACGTAGTTTTGAAGAGAATGTTTTAATCTCAAACCCAACCACATGATGGCGAGCTCACAGGAGTTGCCTGAGAAACCAAAGCGGTCCTATTTACGCTGCAAGGGTCTTGCAGTGATCCTTGCGTTGCGCAAGTGACATCACCACCGTAAGCTCTGTGCCGCGCAACTATACACTAGGCTTTAGGTAGGGTAGTAAGTAAAGGAAGTGGCTTTATAAAGGGCACTAAAGTGACTTCATAAAGGGCATTAAAGTGACTTAAAAGAACTATAAAGGGTGGGGGGACAGGTTATGAAGTGTTCATGAGTCCAATAGCAGAGGGGAAAAAACAGTTTTTATGGCGGGAAGTTCTAGCTGGTCCAAATGGTTGTATGATATGGATAGGGCACCATCTTGGATCACCGAGGCTTGGGTATGAAGTTAAGGCTCACTATCGCCCCCATCTGTGAGGCACAGACACTGTCCACCTCAAAGCAAGCTTTCTCCTCCTGCCATTTTCTCTCTGGTCCCTCTCTGCCTCCCCTGACTGCACATTGCTGGTTGACACGCAGCCTTTACAGCATTCACATGGTTTTATACCAAGGCAAAATCATGGAAGTTTACATTGACTTCACCCAAAAAAATACACAACACTTCTGTGTGCCCTTTTTAATGACCATGTCAGTATGAATCACTGTAACTTTGAGTGTGTGGATGACAAAATGAGAATACTATAGCGCAGAAATATGTTTAAATCTGTGACTTTTGCAGTTGAGAGTTACGGTTGATTCCGTTGAAATGATGGCGGAAAAGTATGTTTTGACGGAACCCGAATTTTTCGTGGGCGGATGCAGACGAAGTGGAGGCTGTAAGATCACATTTCTATTTTTACATAGATAACCTATAGGCCATTTACTGTATGCATTCATACAGTATATGCATAACAAAGCGACATTAGTGCATTTATAATCACTGTTGTTTTTCATTTCTGCAGTAGCGCCCATGAAACTTAACCAAACAATAACGGTGAATGCTAGCACATGTTCCACTGAATATTGTTCTCAGACGGGAATCGAGCCGATCAAGTGTTCCACAGACGAGAAGTGCCAAAATCTAACGTACGTTACTTTGTTGAAAATATAAATGTTTGAAAGGAAAAATGTCATACAAAGCTAACTATTTGAGCTTTTACAACAGTGTCCCTCCTCAGTCACTGACCTGGAGTTGTTTTTAGATCCATCCATGCTTATATCGGGAACTACTAACACGTAGCTCCGTCTCTTCTGTCCAAAAGCTTCCAACTTCCAAAACATACACACACATACAGAGACACAAACATACAGAGTCATACACACAGAAACACACCCATTCACGCGTACACACATATACACGCAGACACGTTCTCCCCATGTCTGCATACCTTTACTCCAGGTGTGCCGGTAAAGACATGTCCACTAGGCTTCTTCATTCTATGATTAGATAAACATCAGGAAGTGAACGTCTGCATTCTTAAACAAACATACAACATTGGGCAGTGTAGATGGACGCACACAGTTGCCGAGACCGGAGAAAAAAATCACAATAGTGCGTTACCTGTTTGTACCAGAAGTTCGTGGAGATAAAAGCAAATCCGAGTCTGTATATGAAGAGCGAACAATAATATAACCTGGGAAAAGATGACAGAAACAGCACTTTGAATATTATTGAAACTTGAGAGTGATCAAAAGTTGGACTGTCTCTCCTCAGCTGCGTCCCGTGGAAAGAGTACACGTGCACAGTGACCGGAAACACGATGATCGACCGCACGGGACAGACTCGGGCCATTGCCAACTTCTGTCCACAAGTGTTGTTGAAGAACAAATATTTGAATCTGACGGTGTCTTACGCAGCTCGCCGGCTCTCCGACGTCCCACTACTGAACCACGTTGCATTTGAACTTGACGACAAAGTAATAGCCATCAAGAACGCTCTCATCGAAGTAAGTGAGAAAACAGATTATTTTCAATGACCAGCCTGGAGAACCTTATTTTGCACTGTATAGCCCAGTACCCACCAGCCTTACTCTATTCTACTTCACTGTACTCTACTCTCTCTCTCTCTATCTCTGGTCTTTCTCTATTCTATTTCTCTATGTAAGAGAAGATAATGTTAATATTTGTCCATCATTTGTCTGGTGTTTCGGGCCACAGTGAAACAGTGTTGAAGCTTTGAGAAGAACACTTTAGTGGCTTCACAGGGCTCCATAACCCCCACTTTAAATATCATTTCAAATCCTGAAACAAAAATGGGCAAAGTGCATATTGTCAAGATCATGTTTGGAGCCTAACAGAACAAAAAGCTGGTACTATGTGATTTTAAACAGTTCGACAACACGTCCACGGAAATAGCTTCGAAGATGAATATATCTGAGTTGGAATTCAGTCGTGTTCCAGGAGGAATTCTCGGCACTATTGCTAGAGACGATTTCCACGCTGTGGTGTTTTATGACGGGACAACTCTGCACATTCACTACGAGGGTAAGACAAAACAAAAAAACTTCTGAAACTGCAAAACTCAAATGTGTTTCACAAAGACAACAACATAAGGACGTTTAGAGCCACACAAGAAACGGTGCAAAACTGCCTTTCTGTCTGGTCTCTCACTCTCTGATCTCTCTTTCTGGTCTCTTTCTGGTCTTCCCAAAGACCTCAGTCCTGCTCCTGCTTCTCAGTGCGGTGTCCTCTGCAGCTTTATTTTACAGTGTATGTACAGCTTTTGACAGCTGCAGCAGTGCTCAGACCTACAACCAACAGGTTTGATATGTCTGTGAACGCACTACAGCAGTCGTGAGTTCAGGTGGTTAGAAAAGTGTATACATTGAATGTGAATTCATCCTTTACTGTATTTGTAAAGCACATTTTAAACAGATGGCAAGTTAAACTGCTGTGTGCTGCTTTCTCTCTTAAAAGAGATCTCTAAGAGATCACACAAGGTATTAGAATAATAAATAATCACATACATGAAAAAGACTGAAGATACAATCCTTCAGTTGTTTCTTCAAAACAGGACTGTCTTTAACCTGGATTTGAATTGTCAGGGTGGAAGCCTGTCTCAAATTTTCAGTAAGACTGTTCCAGATTGTATCCTAAGTTAGCCAGACGTCAATCAAAATTCCTTCTATCGTGTCAGGTGAAATATTTACAAACTAAATACTTCCCCTTCTTTCCAGGTTCTCCTGAACAGGTCGTTGGGCAACACATGTGCGCTAACAATTCAGAGCTAATCACACGAGCCGTCGTCGGGTAAAAATGATTATCTATGAGATCTAATGTAATAGCCCTCCATCAGCCTGTTTCAGTCTGGTTTGGACTGGTTCAGTCTGGTTCGGTCTGGAAAAACATTTCTGAGCAGAGTTTGTGTCTGCAGCTGTGATCAGGTGGACAGTGACACTCGAGGAGACTCCATCGACTGTGGAGCAGCCACTGAGAGGTACGTCCACTATAAAACCTCTGCGACCTTCTCGCATAGAGCGTGTGTGAGGAGAGGACTGACCGAGTGTGACATCACCACAGTGTTAGCTTTAACGCAGAAGAAGCCCATTTCTTTATCCAGGCATTAGCGGCGTAACAGGGGCGTGTTGCTACTGTAAGGCAAGCTGTAGTTATCCCCGTGAATGAAGGCATCTTTTTCTCTGTCTCTCTCTCTGCAGCTGTATTTTACTGTATATAGAGGATTTTTGACAGCCGCAGGTTTTACATTCTTAAAACATATGGATAGTACTTATTATTTTCAATCTGTAAGCGACTGTACCACAGTATAATAAAGATAACGTGTTCGGGTCAACACAGTTCACAATATTTTACTTTGACAATAACAAAACTCCTGTAACATGTCATTCATGTTATTCATAAATTCAAATTTTTTATAGTTGCTCCAAATGATAAAAACATGTTAACCAATGAATTTGAATTGTTGTCATAGCCTTAGAAATTTACTTCTAAATGTACTGTACATGAGAAAGTAATGCTTCATCTTGACATGCACTGAAAGGCAGAGTTAAAACAATAGGAGCCACATTACTGTAGTTTCTACACAACAGACTCACACATGAACAATACAAAAGTGTCTTCACGTCGATAGTAATGGGAACATGGGTCTCAGGAGGTTTTGACCCGCTCCAAGCGCAGCCCAACTACTGTCACAAGTTTCAACAAAGCTTATTCAGGAAACAAGCCTCAAATAAAAATAAAACAAACAGAATCCCAGAAAAACAATTGCCATAATACCAATTATCAACAGCGTGAATGAATGTTCCGTTGAGCTTTTCGCCACAGTTCTGCCACCGTGTATATGTTCTGGCTTCTCTGATCATTGTGGTTTTAAGCTCCCACACACATTATTCCTCCATCTCTTCTCTTCACACTGCGTACTTAAAACTATATATAATAGATCAGTGGTAAAACCATAGTCTGTAGCCTCTGTGCAGCGCGCGGGTGCCGCTTCAGAACGCAGACTGTTTACATGTCGCCTCCACGCTACTGTGTCAAGCGACCAATACATATGGAGAGATCTGGTAATTTATCAAACTAAAGGATTCTTTCCTTGGTAGTCCGGTGAATGACTTAGAGTTGGGGACCACTGTCAAAGACAACTAATTGTCCAATGAAGGCGTCCGTAGTACCCTGGACTGCAATATATGATCGCAACACTAGATACTGTAGGAGTAAAAACTACACAGTCTACCTTTAAGTCACAGCGGTGAACCAGTAACATGTGAAGAATAAGCATGGACGGACAAAACTTATTTTTGGTAGATAAAGAAATCCTTAATTCGTTCCACAGAGGGAACACTGACAATCTGTGTTGCATTATCAGTTCAGAACAGTAGGAATGGGGAGCACACAGCACAAGATAAATGAACAATAACTCTATACTTAATAACATTTCAGGTGTAAGACCATGTTCCAAAATGCCTTCACAAACTGCTCGGTGGACCCAAAGCCCTACATCACCGCTTGTACCAACCTGTTCTGTAACTACACGGACACGGACGACATGATGTGCAGAGTTCTGGAGGCCTACGCTCGCCACTGCCACGCTGAAGACTGGATGAACTCTGTGGGCTGCGGTGAGGCCCTGGTGTAGGGATCATGGTGATGTGGGACTGGGATGGAACAGGTCCAACAGATTCAACACAGTGTTTTGAGAAGGAGAGGTTTTTTTTTTTAAAACCCATTGAACCCAAGTTTTTTTTAGCAATTTGGTAAAAGTGGTGAAAATATAGAAAGGACTGAAAATGCAGGAATGCAAACTAATATAAAGTCTATGATTGAAATCAAACTAAAACATCCAAAACTGACCATAAGAACCAGGGAAAAACACAAAGGCAAATTATAGTTAACCAGCAAAACATGGGGACTTATAAATACGTTCTCGGCCCAGTCCCGTTGTTCTGTCGAGTTGGTCTGCCCGTCGAGATGATCTCCCTCAGCTGTTAATGATGTAATGCAAACCTGCGCTGCGCGTCTCACAGCAGCCGAAGTGATCCAAGATGGCGGACATGTAGTCCGCAAATTACTTAAAATGTTAAATACGAACGAATTAAGACACGAATGTCACTTTTAATGCAATTTGAGGCGAGATGTTGATGGTTCCACATTGTGATATGTGGGTTTTAAGAGTAAGTTTCGTGTAAAAAAATGTAAGCAGTCCACTGCTCCTATGAAGCGACACTGCTACTGTTATGATAGCAGTCCCTGAGTTGACTGCTGCATACGTCATTTTACTGTCGTAGGCCCATGACGCGTCCTGTGACTGGTCTGTCGGGTTGATCATGAAAATAATAAATTACATTTAATGTATGTATCATACTGTATTCAATATGATTAACAATAGTGTGAATTTAATTAGATCGAGTTTTTCCCCATTTTGTCGGGTTTCTGCGCATGCGCAAATCAGATTTGGGTTAAACTAGCAGTGTAGTTTCACAGGATCAGTGGACTGCTTAAAACAAACTTTACACAAAACACTTACTCTTAAAACCCACATATCGTGTCTTAATTCGTTCGGATTTTTACTTTTTAAAGCAATTTGCGGAGTTTATGTCCGCCATCTTGGTTTGCTTCGGCTGCCGTGAGACGCGCAGCGCAGGTTTGCATTACATCATTAACAGCTGAGGGAGATCATCTCGACGGGCAGACCAACTCGACAGAACAACGGATCTACAGCCTCAGTCCGGGATCAACAACCCAAACGTACATAAAAGTATTAAAGAGCACAAATCCACTCCATGTCAGTGTCCTTGGCTGAATGGTTGAAATTTCTATTTTATCAAGCCCTTTCCTCACTAAGATCCGAAACTGACACAAAAGTTATTCTTTTCATAATGTCTGTTTTGGACTGCAGTTACAGATTATTAATTTAATAAGGAAACATACTGTATGCCTCTTCTACTGCATCTCCTGCTTCTTTTCCTATTGCCTCCCATAGTGCCTCTCTTACTACCCACCCTAGTGCCTAGTGACTCCCCTACTTCCTTCCCTCGTGCATCTCCTTCACAATATGTCTCTGTGTGTTTTGCAGCTCCCTCTGGATGTATCCATGAGAAGTGTCTGGACCATGAGTTCTGTGGGTTGAGTCTTGGGCGTAGGTCCCTGTGTTTGTGTAGAGCCCCGTTTGCTGCCCCCTACAGGAGCAACAACACATTTGGTATTCTAAGCTGCTGCTCCGAATTGTGAAACTACTAGAACTCCAAGAACAGTCATTTTGACGGCTCCCAGTCAAATAAATGGAATTCTGAAATAAAATCCCAAAACTTATTTACAATGTTTTATTGAAATTAAGTGATTTTCATCTTGAATGTATTCTAAAATGGATTAATACAGTATATATGTAATACGACAAACGTAAATGCTATCTGATGCAAGTAGAAAGTGCTATGGTAACTCTTGCTCCAAGCTAAGATTTCTCTGAACCAGTCTAGGATCGAGATGATTTAAAAAACATAATGACATAGATATAAAACAAATATTAACTAAATTAAGAGCTGTCATATCGACTGCTCTGGGAGTTCTATTGTTAAACACATTTGTGACGTCTCCCGTGCATCAGACTCAATGTTGCTCCCGTTACCAGGAGAGGACACCATGTGCGTTGCCAAAAAGGCCTCTGTGTCTCTAGTGGGATGTCTGCTAGCGGAACAGAACATTAACATGTCCTCTCTCCACCTCAACGATCCCAACTGCACCGGGACCATCAACCCCAAAACCAAAGACGTCACATTTACCTTCAGCGACACCAACCACTGTGCAGCCAATGTGTCGGTAAGACCAGGACTGAACCAGGACTGAACCAGCACTGAAGCAGGACTGACGCAGGACTGACCTAGCACTGAAGTAGGTCTGAACCAGGACTGAAGCAGGACTGAAGCAGAAAAGAATTGTGCTTCCTTTTATTTATGTTTTTCTTTCTGTTGAGTTTGTGCTTTTTCTTTTCAGATAAAAGGAAACAAAATCATTTACTCGAACACCGTCATGGCTCCTGAAGACAACGGGGAGACCATCTCTCGATCAAGTCCAGTGAGCATCCAGTTCTCGTGCACCTACACCCAGCCGGAGGTCCACACCATGTCTCTGAAGATCAAGGACAGGTAACACAGTGGGACATCAACATAAATACCCATTGAGCACCATGAATGCTACTATCCGGAATTCATGGCACAAACATATCCTGCTGTCCAAATCATCATTAGTTCACCAGGCTTGCTGAAATCCCAAATAAAAAAAATGTTGTAACTATTCTGAGATTTACATTCTGGTTGTAGGACTTATTTGGCAATTTACAACTAAATTGCCTCTCTGGGATAATAAAGATACCTTGAACCACGGCTACACAGCTACATTAGTGCCACATATGGAATTTTGTTCCACAATCCAAAATAAATGTCGGCCTATACTAATGCAGTAGACAATTGGATTCTAGAGGTTCTGATCTTTACAACGAGGTATAAAATGTCTGTACTGTCAGAGCTAAAGGTGGCTGGATGACGAGGTGGAGAATGAGCACAGCATGTGTCTTTACATATCTTCAAGAAAAAACAAAAGAATAATCAAAAATGTGGAAAATTATCATATTGTGAGCCTTTTTTTCAACGTAATAGATTAATTTAAGTGGCGACCCAGGATGACTGTCCATTCAAATCAATGACCTGTGCTCATTGGCTTTAGGTACTCTGGTCCAAATAAGTTCAAATAAGAGCTGTTTGTGTTCACATAACTACGGGGACATTTCCTGGGTTGCCCTGGTGCATTTGGTCTGCAGTAGTGAGGATGGTCTGCCACCGTGTGGGGCAGACCATCAACTCCCAGTCCTGAAGTTAGACCTAAGTCTGATTTGGTCACAGTTGAAGGTCGTGATCTGGTTCAATTAAATTAGTGAAAGAGAGAAGACTCTTTCATGGATGGAGTTAAAAACACCCCCAGTCTTTTGCTGTTGTAATATGGTAAAAATGTGTTTGTCGAGCAGATCTGTGGTGAAAGTGATCGACGAGGGAGAGTGGACCTACGTCTTCAACATGACGGCCTTCTCGGATGAGGGCCTGAGCTCACCTCTGACCAATGAGTCCAATCTGCATCTCGATGACATGCTCTGGATCCAGACCAAAGTCTCTGAGGTGGACGAGCAGCTCATTTCTCTGGTCATCGAGGAGTGCTGGGCGACTAAAGAGAACAACGCCACGGCAGCGCAGAAGTACTCCCTCGTCAAGAATGGGTCAGTCTGTAATAATGTAGAAGTTTGAGATCAGCTGCTTTTTTCTATGCGTCATCACAAAGGGTATTTTTTGGTTTCAATATAACACCCGGCCAATCTATTCAATTCAATGTATTTGTGTATCACCTTAAATCACAATAGGCAGTTGTCTGATTTTTTTACAAAGTTGTGGATTCTCCAACAAAAGATCAGATAATCAGACCAATAGAAAACAGAAAATGCAATATTAACAAATACATACGAGCCATTGGTCCATATGGAGCAGGAATTTGAAAATTACCAGCTGCAAACACGGCCATGCAATGGTAAAGACGTTATTTACCTGAGAAACAGCTAGAACAAATGGATTGGTAACACTTTTGTTTTACATCATGACATCATGAGTGTGATGTCATCGTGGTACGATGACATCATACTATTACAGGACTGATAGAGCGTTGACTAAAGCAGGTCTCGTCGTTCCTCCACAGCTGTTCTGACGAGGACAGCGTGAAAATGAAAACTAATGGAGAGAGCCTGGCCAGTGTCTTCTCCTTCAGAGTTTTCCAGTTTGTGGGCAGTGAAAACGACGTTTACGTACACTGTGAGACCAAACTCTGCATCAAGGCCGACGGCTGCACTAAGGTAATAATAGGGTTTAATCCCGGGAAATAAGATTCCCGGGGAAATGTTTTGACGGGAAAATTCCAGTGCGCGTCTATTGTTGTCTTACAGTAACGTTGCATTCAGTAGCCTACGCAGCAGTATCTACCGCCTAAGGATGTCTACTGCCAGCTTTGTATGGGAGCATTTTAAAAGACGACCTATTTCCCGGGAATCCCGGGAAATGGGTCTTCTTCATGGAAGCGGTTATAAAAGAATTGATTCTGATTCAGTTTCTTTTCCATTTACACTAAAACACCATTGAAATACATGTGCAAAAGTCCCCCAGTATGCGCCAGACAAGTACGACTTATTTACTGTTTTAGTAAGTCTTTTTCTCATAATGCTGCTTTGTTTTTACAGACCTGCACTGGTCCTTGAGTCCAATCTCGTGGAAGAAACAAAGATTCTTATATTCTGTGTGTGGCAAAAAACAATCTAAATTGGGTTTAAATCACTGATTAAATGCATGTATAATGTAAATATTGATCTCAGTAGTTTTGACAATGACTAACGATGAGCTTGGTTCTGAAACTCTTTATATGGCCTGAAAGTACCAAAAGTAAAACAAACAAAAAGCGAGTTAACAGGTCAAAACTACTAAGGTTAAGATTACAACCTGGATTGATTGGGTCATTTTACAGTGAAAGGATTGAAATGTCAGGTGGTGGAAGAAAATATTTGATTGTTTTGAAATATTATGGTGACGGGAAGAAAAACTGAAAATGCAAATTACGTTTATTCTATCATACTGGACTGGCACCTGCTTCAAAAAAGAATTATACTTTTGCACCAATACAGTTTGTGAAGACAAGTGAGTGTGTTGAAATTGACAGGAAGTAGAGACAGAACTCAGCAGAGTGTATATTAGAAGTGGGCTGACCGAGTATGACATCACCATAGTGCTAGTCCTAATAGAGAAGAGGCCCATTTGAACATAAGATAGCTGGAGCCAATTTCCTTCTATAGGCATTTTTCTTCCGACACTGTTAGCTTCAGGTTGCAACAGGGGCAGACGTGTCGCTAAGACGGTTGCTAAGGCAAGCTGTAGTTTCCCCTATGAATGAAGGAATCTGTTTGGTTGATCCTTATTTGGCTGAATTTACAGACAATATCTCAATATAAACACCAGGATCACAGAGATGGTGAGTGTGACTCAAACGGTTACTGAGCTAGAGGAGATTACTTTTACATGGAAGCCAATGAGAGCTGGAGCAAACTTTGTCCTTGAGCACGTCCCTATTGGGTTTCATTGAGCTAGCAGGTTGTTAATCTGTCTTTCCGCACAAAACAATTTATGGCTCTCTAATGATTCACTCAACAAGATAAAATATACTATGATACATGATACATGATATATTATTTTTAAATTTTTAAAAAACATCAAATCAACATCAAAATGATCAGTCAAACCTGTACTGTAATATGCACTTTGAGAATAATGTTTGTATTCTTGTATCTTGATAAAATTGTGTATGTAATTTTATCTGGATGAGAGTGGTGTGAATCTTAAATAAAGTGGGATTTTAAATTGGACCTTGTTTTGTTTATACCAGATTGTCATATTCTCTACTTTTCAGCAACTTTAGTATTAAAAATATAGTTCTATCAGTATTTTTTTTTTTAAAGCAATACAGCCTGGATAGAACCAGGTTCCAGTAGGTACTAAAGCATCACATGGTACTCATCAAACAGGGCCGTTGGAAACATACACTGCCCCTTCTGTTTCCAGAGTAGGAGCATGATAGGGCTGGTAGAAACAGGGCTTATGTTTTACCTACCAATTCATGTTGTGAATTAAAGAGATTTTTAAAGCCCGGCCTTAAATAGAGACTGAGTCCGACTCCTTACTGTGGATGTGGCGCTGATTCCACAGTATAGGAGGTAGAGCCTTGCACTTGAGCCCTTGGCCCGGGGGGGGCGACAGCCCGAGGGCCGGGCTTCGGGCCGATGACCGCATAATGACCTCGGACACGGGCCTGGCTCGCGCACTTTCAGAGCAGCAGATTACATTTACGAACGCACCCACTGAATATAGCGTTCTATCACGCTGTAGTGTTTGTTATTCTGTGTAGTGTTGTCTTTGATGACACATAGCGTTACTTACAAGTGTGTTGTGGCATCTGGGCATCATACATCTGTGTATCATACAGATGTTTATCATACAGCTGCAGCCGTTCACTCCGCACACACAGAACTCATGGCAACACATCACTACCATGTTAACTCCGCCCTCTAGCCAAGCCTGCGTTCATATCGGTGCGCGGCACTATATACTACCCTAAAACATTGTTATGGGAGGTAAAAAATAAATAAAAAAGTCCGGCTTGATGCGGGTTTTGGGCCTGAAAATTCAGAAACCATATCGGGCCGGGCCGGGCTGAGGCGCCACCCCCTTGGGCCAGGGCCAGGCTCGGGCCCAGATAATAGGCCCGTGCAGGGTTCTAATAGGAGGTTCGAGAAGCCCCAGAAACCCATAAACCATATATTAGGAGTGGACTGACCGAGTGTTGATGTCACACATGGTAATAATAATAATAATATTAATAATGTATATTTATTAGATTTTTAGGATACTCAAAGATGCTTTCCATGTCATTATTCATTTACTTCATGCATGGTGGTGATAAACTACTCCTGTAGCCACAGCTGCCATGGGGCACACTGACAGAAGCGAGGCAGCCAGTCTGTGCCATCGGCCCCTCTGACCACCACCAGCCATTCACACACACCTAGGAAAAGTGGGTGAAGTGTCTTGCCTAAGGACAACAAAAGTTTCGTCTTGTGTGAACCAGGCTGTGCCCCTAGCAGTCAACTGACCATCAGTCACTTTAATATGCTAATTAGTGTATTCAAAACAAAACAGCAGAAGTTGAAATGTTATGACTTTTATTAGGTACTTGTTGTTTATATTTTGATGTGTTTTGGTTTTGGAAAAAGTAAAGAAAACAAGATTTACACGCATTTTAACATTTGTAAACCCCAGCCCTTTCTGCTGCCCCATAGGCATGCATGGCGCAGGGGCGACTATTGTCATAGTAACCATTTCCCGGGGTTTTTTCCCGGCTTATAAAAATTTATAAATATGTTGTCACTATAACTATAAAGGGGCTTGAGTAATTTTTGTATTTGGGAGAGAGAGAGAGAGGAAGTAATTTCATCAATAGTTTTGAATTCAAAGTTGAGTACAAAATGAAAAGATACACAGTAGAAGAAGTCCTGGCAATGCTTAAACACATTGGTAAGGAACATTCTAACAGAGGTGAGATGTCAGATTTTGAGGTGGAAAGTGACAGCGAGGAGAACGCCGACTCTGAGCCCAACACAGCGCTCCGTCCTCCCGTAAAGAGAAGGTTCACGCCTCCTTGGTAACGCCTTGTTGGCAACAGGTTAATATAAATTATTTGTTTTATTCTCCAATTTAAACCCACTTTTAGGACATTTACCAAATATTTTTAGTGTTTGATTGGCGAAGGAATAACCAAGAAGCTCAGTTGGCAGAGCATTGGCCTTTGAGCCTGAAGGTTGTGGTTTGAGCCCACCACGAGGCCTTCTCCACCGACTCTCACTGATGTCTGCTGTCGTTGTGTCCTTGGGCAAGACAGTTAACCCCACTTTGCCTGAAGCCCCCGTTGAAAGACCAAGGCTATGCCATAGAGCAGCCGTCCTCCTGTGGACTCACCAACTGCAGGAGGGATCAGTGAGGGGCTGGTGCTAGGTGTACTGGGTGGGATCTCTGGCCACCCCCGCCCCAGAAATGGATTAAGGGGTAGAAAATGGATGGATGACCTTGCTGTTGTTTTCCAAATAAGCATGCTAGCAGCGCTGCTTGAATAGAATATATCCTAAAGAATAGAAGAGTAGGCATATACCCGCTGATTCAATGTATTTTAGCCTACATTTTGTGTTTACAAAAATATAGCTCCTCTAGCACATCCGGGACTGCACCATGGCTGAAGCGCGACGCTCTGAGGTACAGTGGGTGCAAGCGGCCCGTATGTGGCAAATGTGTGGTCCAATTACAACCTCATTGTCTGAAGTGTGTGTAGACTTTGTAAATTATGTAAATAGCCTCAATGTTTTATCAATTATTAATTTATTAATGTTCTTTTTTGCACGTTTTGTTCTCAATCTGTTTTGTGCCGTTTTAGCCACTTTTGGTAGCGCACATTTTCTGTAATTTGTTTTATAATCAGTTCGAGTACGTTTGATTCTCATTTGCCAGTGAAAATCTTCTTGTACATTATATATGTTATAATCATTCCTCCTAGAACTACCACCTTATCGTGGTGGAGGGGTTTGAGCACCCAAATGATCCTAGGAGCTCTGTTGTCTGGAGCTTTATGCTCCTGGTAGGGTCTCCCATGGCAAATAGGTCCTAGGTGACGGGTCAGACAAAAAGTAGTTCATAATTTATTTATAACGCGCTTCACACCTGAAAAGCAGATCTGAAAGTGCTAAGTGTTAAAACATATATTCTAAATCTGAACGTTAACCCATAGTGCATTCACGGCACGGACAGCAGTGTTGTAACAAGTCCAGAAGCAATAATGCACATGAGCGTGAGTAATGTCCCCCATACGCAGGTGTCTGTGTGCGCGCTGTCGCTCCATTCTGCCTTTTGATGATCAATGACATTCTTGTATTTATACATACAAGAAGGCACTGAAGCAGAATACAATATCGCAATAAAGTAGAACAATTAGATGAACAATCAAGGCAGAGCGCGGATGGAGCGTTCTGAGGCCTCTCGTCACCTGCGGACTCCTGCAGGAGAGGAGCGGCCCTCAACAAGATGAAATAAGGACGATAGCACAGATAACACTATGTGTTATTCTCTACATAGCGGTCAACTGACCGCAAGGGGCGGTGCATGGTATGTTTAGAGCACGGCTGTTCTAGTGTTAACATAACAAGCCTTTTCAGTATGGAGGGCAACAACTTTCAGTTCACACAGGTTCCCGCTCTGACATCACTGGGCGAGAAGCGCTAGTTTTTTTTTTTTTTTTTCTTGTTGCTAAGGCCCTTGCTATGGTGTTTTCTCGATTTGGGGTGTTCGGACAAAAACAAATAATGATTTAGGAACCTTTAGTAGTGTTTTGCTAATATAAAATAGTATTAAAACTTTATTTCTAGTAGATACAAACCCTGCATAAGGTCTTTAAATGGAATTGTAAGAATATGGGATCACTTTGGATGTCAATTTGTCAGGCAAACAGAATTTTTTGAGTGTATTTTTTTTACGTCTGGGGTAATATTTTAAAGTAGAAATGTAGCATACTCCAGATTCTTTTTTTCCTAATTTCTTGCATGTGTCAGAAGCCACCGGGCAAACTTTAGGCAATGTAAGTCCTATCTACTCCACCCCGCCTTTCCCCTGT